GTCCTCTGTGCAGCTGACAGGGCTGCCCGTCCCTGCTGGAAAGGGCTCCTCCCTCCTGCCCCATCTCAGAAGGAAGCAGTGCTGGGCTTGCAATCAGATCCCAGGCCCTGTTTTGTTTCACTTTGCTTCTCCCAAGAGGGAACACTGGGTTCTGGCCAACCAGCAGGGAGGGGGACAGGGAACTCCTGGGTCTCACGGTGGGGGGAGCCCACAAGTGGGGGATGTGGGGTAAAGAGCCTGGGCCTGGGTTACAACTGCTCAGCCCGGCACGTCAGGTGCCCTGGGTGACTTTCCTCATGAGCCCTGAGAAGGTGTGGACAACTGTCTGTCCCTCCCAGTCAACAGGATGGGCTGCCGGCTCCTCACGGGTGCCCAGAGCTGCCTCAGAAGAAAGGCCTGGTGATCTACGGCCTGAAAACCCTAAAAGGCCCGGTTCTCCTGGCACACGTGGGCTTGCTGTGAGCCGGAACGAATTAGACAGAACCTGGGCTTTGTTTGTTTGGGGGGGGGGGGGGCGTCAGACCACAGCACTGTCACAGGGTGACCTGTCAGTCACGCTGGATTTACCTCCAGCTCTCCCTTCGGAGGTCAGGGGACTTCCGGCATGGCCAGGGGCCCCCTGAGCACTGTCACCTGCTGCCCTGAATCCAAAGGGGTCACAGTATTGGCCTGGGAGATATACCTCACCGGAAAGGCTTCTGGGTGAGGCAGGGGCCAGGGCCAGGGCCTCCTCAGGCCTCGGTCCCCAGGTCCTCTCTGCTTGCCCTCTGCAGATGGCTCTCGGGTTTATTCAGTGACCTGTCCTCCAGGCCTCTGCTCCCCCCACCTCTCCTTTAAACCTCTGATGACACAGGTGAGGGGAGCCTGGCTTCTCTCAGGTAGGGCTCGGGCGGTTTCTCCTTTCACTTTGCTAAGGGCTGACGAAGAAGCCCTGGTGGCATCAGGGTTACAAGCCGGGCTGCTAACCTCCAGGCCAGCAGTTCGAAACCACCAGCCGCTCCTTGAGAGAGCAACAAGGCTTTCTCCACCCCTAAGAGTGACAGTCTCAGAAACTCACAGGGCACTTCTACCCTGCTCTATAGGGTTTCCATGAGTCACAATGGCCCCGGGGACCCTTAACGATCAGCCGACTCACAAAGTGACCCTGTAGGGTAGAGGAGATTGGTCCCACAGGATCTCCAGGACAAGCTGTCTCCCGAGTGGATGTGGGGAGAGGTGGAGAAAGGGCAACTCAAACCAAACTCACTCACAGTGGCCCGACAGGGCAGGGTGGAACTTCCCCTCGGGTGTCCCAGGCTGGAACTGTTAACAGGAGGAGAGAACCCTGTCTTTTTCCCCAGGGAACGGTGGCTGTTGGTTTCGAACTGCTAAACTTTCAGAACTCAGCTAAACTCCTAACCACTATACCACCAGGTCTCCTGGGAAGAAAGTCCCTCTCCTTTTTACTTTAGGACATGGGCTAGGAGTAACCCAGAAATGGAAGGGTGGGGAATCCCAGTTGCCACTAGCCACAAAGGATGTGCAAAGGCCCAGTCCAATCTAGCCCCACCCCTCCTCCACACAGTCCTTGGGGTCATGAGCAGAGGGTCATCACTCACTGCCAAACAGCCCACCACGAGGCCTTGTGGAGGGGGCCCTTTTGTGGCCTCTAGGGGTCTCTCCTAGCCTCTGATGGAGACTGAAAACCCCAGGGCTTCCCCTTCTGATGCTTCAAGGGCAATGTTCCAAGGGGCACAGAAGGGCTGCACTGATGGGACCCCAAGGGGGGAGGGGCTGAGAACAGACACTGGGATGTGGGGCCTAGGCTCATTTAGGGGACCAAGAACATGGCCCCACCCCCACCCCACCTCCCATCTCGGTGCCCTGGCTTCCCAGATGCCCTCGTCCTGAGAGCCACAAAAAAGGGCAGTCCTGAGTCCAAAGCAATTCTCCTGGGCCGCCTGACATGTTCCAACTCCTCCCATGCACGCTCCAAGTTTGAGTGGACTGGCAGGAGGGGGAACCCCTTCCTCAGCGTGGGAGGCGGAGCGGGGAACTCCAGTGGCTCTGTCCCTGGCAAAAGTGGGCTGGGAAGCCAGCGCTGCAAGCTGGCAGTGCCAGGGGGTGCGGGGGCCTCCATAGTATTCTGGCTGGCTGGAAGCCCGAATCTCCTGGAGGAGGTGGGTCTGAGCCCCTGCTTAAGGGGCCCGGGACCTCAGAGTAGGAACGTGGGAAACGAAGTCTTTCAAACTTCCTTCCCGACTAAGCACACGCGAGGGAGCGCCATGTCCGGTTACCACGTCAACCCCCCTCCCCCCCCTCCGCCTTCTTCCAGTTCCCTGCCAGAAAGGGAGGGTGGAACGGGGACAGACACAGGCACCCCAGAACTCAGGCTAGAAGCAGCCTGCAGGACATCCTGCCACATGCCCCTGTGCAGTCCGGGAGCTGGGTTCCCTTTCCCAAGGTGGAGGGCAACCCCCATACTGTAGGTCACCAGATCCCAGATCTGCATGGGTCAATTCGGATTGCTCAACAACCCCCACCCTTGCCCCACCCCCAGCCTTATCTCTGGTATCAATCCAAGGCCCTTTCCTCCAAGGAACAGGCGCCTCCCTGCCTCCCTCCCCCAGGGAGACTTGATCCAGGCCAGCTTGGGCTTCTTCCTCTCCAGTCCAACACAAACCAGGGAGAGAAGCAGGATATCAGGACCAGTATCAAAACACCTTGGCTGCCACACCTGGGCACAGCCTGTCCACTCCACTGGGCCAGGGAGTTAGATTCCGGGAACTAGTGCCAATCCCAAGCCCTTCTGGGAAAACTCCAGCCTTATACAGGGGCCTCTCTTGGGCCCCCTTGCCCATACCCCAGATCTTAAGATCTATGTCCCCCTGCTTTGTCTACAAGACTCCAGTTTGCTCGGCCACCCCAGGTTCTGGGCTTGGGCTGTCCGGGCTCTCCAAGGCAGTGGAGAGAAGTAGAGTCCGCAAGGCCCTGGGGAGGTGTGGAGGGGGTAACATGGGCTGTGTCTGAGAGAGATGAGAGGAGACAGGAGTCCCACAGAGGCAGAACCCTAGACCATAGGAGGACGGGGTAGAAGTGAGGGCCTGAGTTAAGGAGTTTAGTTGAGTCACTGGACAGCAAGCAGCAGGGACCCACCCCCAAACTGCCAGCTCCCAGGAGCAGGCTGCCTCTCCAACAGGCCCCTCACCAGGACTCCCAAGAGGGCAGGAAAGCCCACTCTGGCGACTCCCAGCCACCTCTGTGGGAAAGAGCAGCTGTCCAAAAGGAGTGGCAGGCAGGTCAGAGTCCAAACTGGGATGAGATAATTCAGTCTAGGTGACCGGTGACACGACCCATGGTAGCTCCCCTGGCTCACAAGAGGGCCAGCTACCCACCCCCAGGCAGTGACACCCCCAGGCATCCCTCAGGGGTCTGACTGTAGAAATCTTGTTTTGTAGGCCCTAGGCTGCCTGGAGGCTGGATCTTGACTGCACTGGGGCCCTTTTCGGGGAGTTCGAGTTCCACAGCTCCACTCGCCCTCCTTTGTGGCCCGCTCTTTGTTCTGTTCAAACTCAATATGTCCCCCCACTGGGGCCCCCCTCCTCCACCCAAGCCCAGCCAGGGGGTGGGGGCCGGTGGGAGTTACTGGAAAGCCCGCCTTGGGCAGAGAAGTTTCATCGCAGGGGGCCTTCTGCAGCCGGCCCCTGGGCCCCTCATTGTTTACGCTCCGGGCGCGGGTGGGAGCGCGCTCTGCAGTCCAGATGGCTGCGGGCCCAAGGGGGGAGATGGGCTCTCCAGCGCCCCTGTCCCCCGCAGAACCGCTCAACAACCTGGGCGCAGCCAAAGGGCCACGAGAGCCGCTCTCGGATGGCCGGGGGTGGGGGGCGGGGTGGACACGGGAGAAGTTTCGAGAAAAGAAAACGCAGTGTCTTTCCCTCCAGTCTCCCGGGGAGAAAAAGCAAACTTCCACCGCCCAGAGCAGCTGGAGCTCGTCAGGCCGGCCCGGGGAACCTGGTTTGAGTTAGCAGCGAGCACCCCTCCCCCCGCAGCCGGCCTGGCCCTTTTGCACGCGCGCGCGCGCGCGCACACACAGGCACACTCACGGCCGGTCCCTCGCCCTCTGTACACACGCGCGCGCACACACTCCGGGTACAGTCTCCTCCTGGGAGCACAGCGCCCGGGTCCGGGCACTCACCGCGACCTCCGGATCCCCAGCAGTCGCGGGGACGCACCCGGGAGCTGGGCAGTTTTGTAGCCCGCCCGGGGGGCGCTCTGCGGCGAGGGCGGAGCCGGCGGCGGCGGTTCGGGCCCAACCGCTCCCCGCTAGGGATTAAATCATTAACCAGCCGCTCGGGGCCGCGGACACTGGGGCCAGGACGCTCGGGGGCCCTAGCTCGGGGCCCGATCCTCCCGGGCGGAGGCGGAGGCAGGATTTGCTCCGTGGCCAGGCTCTTCCTGGTGGCTCCTGCCCCTCCTTTCTCCCGGCGGTGACACTGGGTGGCGTGGGGGTGCAGTGCTGCGGTTGGGGGGCTACGAGAGCGAGTGCGGGTGCGCTCGCCGCCGCCACTCCGCGCGCTGAATTCGGATCTTCCCCGAGAGAAGTCTGCGCGCACACGCCCCCTTCGCCGAGCCCGCGCCGCCACGGGGGAGCTCGGGCCCACTCGCACCCGTACCCCGTTTCTGGGCGGAGGGTCGGCCTTGGAAAGGCCCAAGCCTCCCACCCGGGCAGCGTCCTGAGCCAGGCAGCGAGTTCGAGTCTGGGGAAGGGAAAACGAGCCGCGCGCAGACGCCCCTTCTTCAGGGTTCCAGCTCCGCTCCGACACTGGTCTCGGCTCCGGGGTCCCAGGGACCTGAGCCCCCTCGCGCGCATTCCGGCCTCGGGCATACGGGAGGGGGGTCTCCGCGCCCTTCCCCAGCCCCCACCCCTGGCTTTTTCAATCCACTCCGCCCTCGCGGAGCACACCCAGGCCGCGCAGGGTCCAGGCGGCTGTCAGGGCTGGAAGTGGGTGTCTGTCGCCTACCTCGGTGGCCGGAGGCCTGAGCGTGGGGCTGGGGCTGCAGGGCGCTCCGCTCGGCGGGTCCCGCGCGGCGCCCGGGGAGGCGGCCCATGGCAGCGCGGGCGCTCGTTTCTCCGCGGCTCTCGGGCGGCCGGGGCGGGAGCGGCCGGGACAGTCCCCTTACAGGCCCCTCCCGCGCCTCCCGCCCCGCCCCGCCCCGTTGACATCACGCCGCCTCCGCAGCCAATGGCATGGTGGGACCGTGGCCCGGGACACGCCCCTTCCAGGCTCCTCCCGCCCCGCCCCGTTGACGTCACGCCGCCTCCGCAGCCAATGGCGTGCTGGCACCGCGGCCCGGCCGCTCCGGCCTCCTCAGTTCAAATCCCCGTGCCAGGGACTTGAGACGCTCCACGTGGAGAGGCCGGGGCCGGGAAGTAGGCCAGCACCCTGGCCGGCGGGGCCCGGGGCGCCAGTCGCGCTGCGCACTAGCCCCTGTCCCCCATCTGGGCCCTTAGAGTCTAAGGGTCAGGGGTGTGCCTCCCGCCGGGGCTGGGCGCGCGGCCCTGGTGAAGCCCTTCCCGATTCCTTCCAAGCAGAGACCGGAAAGGAATGATCCAAGACCCATTTCCCGCTCCCTCCCGGAGCCGCTGACCCGCCGGTCTGGTACCCACGGGAGCTCGGAGTGGCGGCGCCAAGCTCGGATTCTATCCCAGACTCTTACGGGAACTCAGAGCGGAGGAGGATTGGGCAGCGTGACCTGCATTTGGTCATTTCTCTTCCCCAAGTCTGCGGTTTCTCTCCGGGGTCCGAATCCTCTCTGCTGTTGGTGTAAATCAACTTCCCGGGTCCAAAGGCCAGTGGCCAATTTTCAAGGAAAGTGAACCCAAGCCCCTTGGCCGCTAGCAACTCCCCCACGAGGGCTTTTAGGGGAAGGGTCTCAGGCCTGAGGATCCCACTGGGGACATTGCACACCCTTTCTCATCTGTGCAGTCCCAAACACCAAGCCTCAGGGCATCTTGGGGATCAAACCCCAAACCAGACTCCTAGAATGTGGGGCTTCTGAGATACTTGAGAGGCAGACCCACATAGGTTCCGGCCCTTATTGGCTTAAGGTGCACGCTGCCTCCCTTGTCTCCTTTACCTGCCCCAGAGTACATAAGACCCAAATGCTCCCCCAGCACTGCTGGGCCCATCTGGATGGTGAAGGGATCATTGTCCAGGAGAGACAGGGCTTAATAAAGAGCAGCGATGTAGGAAGGAAGTGAAATGAACTGGTGGCTGTCATGGCCTGGGGCCCCACAGCCCCCATCCCACAACAGCATTCCTGGCTCCTGGCGTCTTCAAATCCAGGAGGCACATTGGAAAGGACGGAAAGGCTTGGGATTCCAGCTCGACATTTCCTAGCTGGACATGTTACATCTGTAAAATGGGAACCCTGACCCTACTTCTGTGTGAAAACAGGTATGACAGGAGAGAGACCCTGGACCCGAAGGCCAGGGGCCCCGGTGGTGCTCCGGTCACACACTGGGCCGCGAAGGACATGGCCAGAGGGAGAAAGAGAGGGCTTCTACTGCTGTTACCAATGACAGTCTCAAGAACTCAGGGGCAGTTGTGAGTCAGCATCCACTCAGTGGCTGTGAGTTGGGTTTGGGTTTTGATTATTGCCTCCGCTCCCCACCTTCAGTCTTCCCAGTTGGAAGCCCTCTCCAAGAGCCCCCTGCCCCCTCCTAAAGAGGCCGACTAACTCTGGTTCCTTTCCCTGGCTCTGCTTCCTCCGCTATTCTCCTTCCACCCACTTGTAGCACCCTTCCTTCCGGCCTTGCAGTTGGTAGCTGGTGTCCTGCAGGCCCTAGCTGATAGCAACCCCACGCACAGCAGAATGAAGCCTGCCCAGTCCTACACCGTCCCCACACGCACTTGTGAACCAGGCCTTGTGATTGGTAACATTTTGATTGGTTGATTTTATTTTTTTTTTTGGAAGTTGATATCAGGCCTTTCTTCTTCCTCCATGTTGGGCTGGAATCTCAGCGGAAACCTGTTCAGCATTTGAACACACATGCCTCCACTGACAGATGGTGGTGACGGGAATCAATCCCAGGTTTCCTGCTTCTACAGAAACCAACCACACTCACGGCCTTGAGTCCACTCCAACTTCTAGGGACTCTAGAGGGCCCCCTGTGGGCTTCCCAGACTGCAAATCTTTATGAAATTAGAAAGCCTCATCTTTCACCTTCAGAGTGGCTAGTGGTTTAGAACTGCTAACCTTTCAGTTAACTCCCTTCCCCCTCAGGTGTAACCCACTAGGCCACTAGGGCTCCACCATTCTACCTCGGGGCCACCACTGTCTCCTTTGGGGACTTGTAGGTGTTAGTTGCCAGGAAGTGGATGCCAATTTAGGCCAATTCCCTGTGTGCCCGGCAGCGCTGCCCTGGGGGCTTCCCTGGCTGTGTCCTATCAGAAGCTGATCACCAGGTATGTTTTTGGAGACGTTCTGGGTGGTTTACAACCACCCGTGTTTCATGTCGTCAGCCAGGGGCTCCTCCTTTTGGGGCTCTTGAAAACTCCAGACTTTGGGTCAATGTTGACTCACAGCAATCCTGTAGGACAGAGTAGAACTGCCCCTGTGGTTTCTGAGACTGCGACTCTTTTCAGAAGTATAAAGCTTCATCTGTCTCCTGCAGAGCAGCTGGTGGTTTCAAACTGCGGACCTTGCCAATAACCAAAATCCAAACTCACTGCACTGAGTCGATGATGCTGATTTATAGCAACCCTCTAGGGCAGGGTAGAACTGTGCCTGGGTTTCCGAGACTGGGACTCTTTACTGCTATGAAAGCCCCATATTTCTCTAGGGGAGCAGCCGTTGGTTTTGAACTGCTGGTCTGGCCAATAGCAGGGGACAAATAGCATGCACTAAAACATATATTATACACAGAACATGGTGTTGGCAAATGCTGGTATGTGTATGTGTGGGGTGGGGAGGGGGCAGGGAGGCGCAGGCCCACACAGCTGCAAGGATCTCAAAGTCCAAATCCCCTCCGCAGGCCCCAGCGGCTTCCAGCAGGCCCAGACACACGCCTAGGCCTAAAGGCTTATAGGCCCAGTTACACCAGAGGTGTAGTTAAGACCGCAAATCCCTCTGTATAGCCAGAGGCTTTGAGCTTGCCAAAAAAATCAGGTAGCTATTCAAGCCTCCAATTCCCATCTGGGTACCTTCCCCCTGATGATGACTCAGAATCAACTTGATGGCAGTGAACTTGGTACTTGGCTTTGGCATTTGTCTCCCAGGGAGCCTTGGTGGCACTGGGGATTAAGCATGGGGCTTCGATTGGCCAGGTTTATAGTTCAAACGCAGCTACCTCACTCCCTGGGGGGAAAGGTGAGGCTGCCTGCCCCTGTAAAGACCCAGTCTCTGAAACCCTCCAGAGCTGGGTGTCAGACTCTGCCACCAGTCACAGTCAGTGGACTGGGCGTTAGTGGAGCCCCAGTGGCACAGCCAGTTAAGGCTGGCTGTTCACCGAAAGGTTGACTGTTTGAACCCACCAGCTGCTCTGCAGGGGAAAGGGAGGCAGTCGGCTTCCAAAAAGATGCACAACCTTGGAAGCCTGAGAGTGACTGTGAGTCGGGGGCCGATGGACGTGTAGCTACTTGGCCATCCCTGCCATAAAAGGGCAGGTGAGGTTAGTAATCCCCTTTCCCCAGAGAGAAGCTGAGGGGGGTGGTCCCCCTCATTCTAGAGGAGTGCTTGCCATCATGAGCATTCTGAGATGAGCTGCCTTCCAAAGCCCCTTCCCTGTGAATGCTCTGCCTTTTGTTCCAAGTCTCATGCCTTCTCTGAGGGTAGAGGCGATGACCCTGAGTGTCCAACCCAGGGTCCATCAGAGCACCCCAGGAACTGAGCCCTGCTGAGAGCACACAGTGTGGGGTGGAGCCATGGCCCCTTGTATCAAGGGACTGTCACCTGAGGTTGCTGGGCAGAGGATCTGCTGCCCCTGGCCCTCTGTTGCTGGGAACGACATGGAGACCATCTCTGGTTAAGAACTTAGCTACTAGCCCAAAGGTTGGAAGTTCAAAGCCATCCAAAGGTACCTTGGGAGACAGGTCTGGCAATCTGCTTCCAAGCCCCAGGCAGCACACCCGGGAATGGTAAGAGCCACTGCCCTGTGGGATCAGGAAGTCACAAGGTGTAGGAATCAACTCACGGCAGTGGCCTCAGCCCCGGGATGACAAGGTTCTCACCCACGGCAATGGCACAGGGAATTCACAGACCGAATTCATGATTAAAGGGCTGGTGAAGGTGTGTTAACAAGTTGGAACACAAGTGAGAATTGCTCAGGGCAGAGTTGTTCATCAGGTCTCATTACAAAGTTCTTTCTGGGCTGCTAATAGATGCCCAAAGGGCATGCCACACCATTATAAGCCTCAACCAGAAGGCCTGCAGCTCAAACTCCATGGGTCAGCAAACCCAGCTCCTTGAAATAAGTGCCCAGAGGCACCCCATTCTAATAAGCCTAAACCCCAAAGCACACAAACCCAGCTCCCCCAAGCAAGCACCCAGCACCCACAAGTCTGCCCCTTGCTTAAAAAGTATCCAACTTTCCTTGCTCCAAGGGCTGGGAAGGCCATCGCTCTGTCACGTGCTCTGGCTCCTGGTCCTGCTGCTGCTCCTCTGAATCCAGGAGGTTTGATCCAGGCAGGGATCTCCGGTCCAGAGGACACGCCCCACGGCTGCCTCTTGCTTGTAGTAAAGTCCCCGCTCCTGCTTCTCAGGGGGGGAGGGGTTAATTTTATAAGCGGCAGGATGGTTATCACAATGGAGCCTGTTCACAATTACAGGTGAATCCTATCAGTATCTGAAATAGACAAGCTCATATCACCACGTGTAAGCAGAACTGTCCCAGAACACTTTTCCTTGGGGGCATTTTCCCAGACCCCTCCCCTGGCCTTGGCCTGGCAGAGGGCATCTGTTTTAACATCACAATGACATGCAGGTTTGTAAGTGCCCTTAGACTCTAAGTGGTTCTCAACCTTCCTAATGCTGTGACCCTTTAATACAGTTCCTCATGTTGTGGCGACCCCCCCAACCATAAAATTCTTTTCGTTGCTACTTCA